GTTGTACTGGCTTCTGGTTTGCCTTGTTGGGTGGGTGTTACTATGAGGTAAAAGGCCCAATACCCAAGCCAAGTGACAAACAATAAGAACACTAGGAATAGAATGGAACATGACGGATAGGGGATGTAGATTACCCTAGACAGTTGTGTCATCCATGCTCAGATGAGGTTTTAATGAGTTGCTAGCATTATCACGTAGGTGTATGATGATAGTACTCTCAAGCGAACCCGTGATTTTGAGTTACTTTTGCTTACCCTGACCTAGTTTCTCCCGTGAGTGGGAAAGGATGATTGATTATTACAGGTACCTATTGTGACTTTTGGGTTTTGATGGTGACATTGTTCCTGTTGGTGACTACTTGATCTCCTGGTTTTGGTACGGACTTTTAACTTTGTGATGGTCGTTTATTTGCCGTTCAACAGTTATCTTTTATGATAGGAAGATTTTGTTCTCATGAAGTTGTTGATCCACTTGGTACTTGGTTCTTCTGTGTTCTAAGGTTGCGTCAGACCTTTGATCTGGTGATATTCATCATTCAGTTTAGAGACAGTGCAACCATCTTCCATGTTTATGGAACCTTTATCTTATGTTCTTGCGCATACAACATGTTAACATCATTTTGACACACATGTTCTTCTCATTTCCAATGAATCATGCTTTTGAGCTTGGCGTTGCATTTTCTTCATTTCTTACTTACAAAAAAGGTCAAAGCATGATGGTTCCTCGAAAATGATCGAACATGGAATTATATCCCCTCATGCACCTCATGCATATTCATGCATTCATAATAGGTACTCAGAGTTGGAGATTCATATTCAAACTTGACATTCTCTCTAGAGTTATAGACTTGAACTCTTGATGTCACATGTTTAGAGACCAATTATGGAACGACTTTGTGGGGTATTGGTCGGGATGAATATTTAGATATGGTTGTTTGTGGTATACATGCAAGCCTTATGCCGTCATCAAGAACTCTTAAAGAAGAAAGATAATCAGTTGAAGACCCAATTGAGTCATGTCATGGAAGTCTTTATGATAGTGTCAACAATCTTACACAGACTATTGCAACATGAGTTATTCTCTTCTCCTCATCTTTTGGAATCTCTTTAAAACTGTGGAGTGCCTTGTGGATTTCATCAACTTTCTTGAGTGGTTGGAACGTCTTATCAGCAGATGGTTCCCATTTACCAGTTGAATTCAAGAGGTTTGTTTTATTAACAAGAACAGAAGAAGCCTGGAGAACAATTTTGATACCATATTCGTGCTTTATTCTCATTTGTTTCCACACCTTTTTGAACTTCAGTGGGTTAGGCTTCGTACTTCAGTACCGTCTAAAAATCCCTTTTCGAATCCTATTATCAACGTCATATACGATTACCACGTCAGGGTACCCGATTATTCAATTAGGGGAACTCTCCACACCTTTCGGCCGCCTGATCTTCTCGTCAGCAGTTAGTGTTTGTTCCCCAAGTGAATGCATGGGGAAAAGCTTTTAAGAAAAGATAGAAGAAGACTGAGAAGTATGTTTATACCATCTCAATGCTTACATCCTAGAACTTCCTCTTTGTTGGGAATTCAGTTGATTAAGCTTCATGCTTTGGAGACTATTCAGTTGATTAATCTCTCTCCTTATGCTAACACTAAGTGTGTCTCCCATTCTGGGGCATTTGGCCGTGTTGTTTAAAATTGCAAGATGGTTTAAGTAAATTCAAGCATTTGCATGACGTCCTTTCCAAAGTCCAAATTTCTATTTGATGGACTGCATCTCTCCCATGTGGTATAATATACTTGGTGATTTAGTGTATGCAATTCCACTTGGTACAACATTCATGTTCTCTTTTAAGATAATCTTCTGTGAGTATATTCTGGGGCACTTGGCTATTCATTTGAAGACGGTTTGTCATCCAGAAATAAAGTCCGAGCTTGGATCAATTCAGAGACTGTTGTGTCCACATTAAACAAGGAAACTCTTATCCAAGTGAGTCTCAAGGTTGAAGAAGATCGTCTGAAGCAACAAGTCCATACGGAGACTAGTCTCCTCCACATGGCAATTTCAAATTACATTTGTATTCTCATTTGTAACCTTTCTTGTTTTGGTTTAGTACCTTCTTGTATGCAAAACTTGCTTACTTTTGAATATTAAATCATGATGCACTGAATATGTTTGTCTCAAATTAATCCATCTGTTATCACTCTTATTTGTTTTACTATGTTTTTGATATTCAACTCTTGTAAATAAAGTAATAAATCTTGAGGGAGGATGACAAAAATTTACCTGAAATCTCAGATGGTATGTTTCAATCCCCAAACACCAGAGATATAAGAGAGATAACCCTCATTAACCCCTCTGAGCCTTTGAAGTAGGAGTTTATTTTCTGTTCGAAAAAAACGTTATTTTTAACCCATGGCAGGGTAAATGTTCAGTTAATTTGATCGAGCGTTCAAATTTCAGAAGGAGTTTCGATCTGAGGATCACCATATTTTATCCCTTACATTATGAGGTCTGGAAAAGATCAAAACCACAATGGTTATTTCCTCACAAAATCCTGAAGTCGAGATCAAATCGATAAAACAAAGGTTATCCCTCGCCAACCAATGAATGAGGAAGTCACTTTTCTTCCAAAAAGTTCAAAGACTTAGGGTCACACGACTTGTTCAAAAGGGAAAGTATGAATAAGAAGGAAACAAAAAAACCCCGCTAAGTTGAAATCTGAAAACAAGTCGCTTAGGCAAAAGTTAGGGCATCCCGCTGGACTTCCAAATTGAAGTTCAAAAGAATTGGTCCAAGAAAAAGTTAGGGAAAGCAAAAAGGAATTTGAAAAGCCCGGAACGCAGAAAAGGATTATCCAATAAAAATCCTCATCAAAAGAAAATTCATGTGATCAAATACCCAAAAACCAACGGTTAAGTGACTATCGTGTCCAAGAAATTGATGTGGTTCCTTAACCATCCTAAACTCTTTTGAGAGATGAGTGCTCGTATCGAGTTAACTGAATGTAAGGTCCAAGAAACCAACGGTTAAGTGATGTCATGTCCAAGAAACAAAGGCGTGTCGCTCCCAAATGGTCCTGAAGGACAACTTTCTTCAAGCATCTGCTTGTGCACGAAGCAGTTCGAGTTGAGAAGTATGATTGTGTACTAACTTGTTTTGAAGACGTAAGTCAATTATTTTGAGAATGTGTTATCATCCAAACTCTGTGATCTTCTCATTCTTCTGTGAGCATGAGGGAAGGAAATGGTTTTCAAACACTCCACTAATCTGGGGCAATCAAGTCAAGATCCATTGACTCTTAAAGTTTCGTCAATATGGCACACTCTTCTTCACTGTTTATTTCAGCAATAATGTCTTCTGAACAAAGCATCAAGGATCTACATGCACAAAATTCCCAATTTCAACAAATGTTCGTGCCCTTGGACAAGGGGAAGGAAGATCTAAAGGCCCTTATTCTGAAAGAGAAAAAGAAGAAGAAGAAGAAGACCATCGGTGTCCTGAATCTGGGCAGAAGATTTAGGGGACCGTTGAAGCAAGCAGTTGATCTGACCTCTTCATTCAAAGAAGGGGTGAACCAAGAGGGAGGAACAAGGGGGGAAGACCCTAGTCTTAAAGTTTCCGAGGATGAATCTGACTACAATGATGAATAGTATCCCCTGGCTGAGGATATGTACAAACAGTTAGAGGATCGTCTGAGCGCGATGGAGATCCAAAGAATACCAGTGCTGGATTTCGAAAAGTTGGGTTTGATATCTAGGGTAGTCATCCCACAGAAGTTCAAGGTATCATAAACAAGATATCATAAAAAGATATCATAAACAAGATATCATAAACAACAAATAGATATCAGAAAAATATCATAAAAAAATTTCCAAAGCCCAAAATGGAGTCAGCAGGGCTACCATCAGCAAACTCGGAACCAACAGAAATCCTAACAGTTCATCATCATCTTCCTACTCAAAATCCCTTCAGAATACAAATAAAGAGAAAAGGAAAATAAGCTTTCGAAAATTCAGAATCATAAATATATTACCGAGAGAGGACTCGTTCGACTGGAAAATTCACAAATCCTTCATCGCTACCTCATCATCCACATCGTTCTTTTTTTCATCAGATCGTTAACCAAGTTCAGAAAAGTTAGAAGTTTCCAGCTCACTAAATCAAGAATAATTAGAAAAATATAAAGGAAAATAGAAAAAGTATCAGCAGAAAGAAAAATCACTGCAGATAGAAAATTAAATCAGAAATCAATATTATAGCTCAGCATAAATTTTCAAGAGAAACCGGCATAACAAACGTTTGCCCCAACCATTTCTAACCGAATCAAAACTAAGGGCCAGGATTGCACGGCCTGCAATTATTTCAACAACCTCTAACAAAACTTTCAACAAGCTAACAAAATTAGAGAATAGAAAAACCACACTTCTCAATTCATGCGGGAACACCCTGAAAAATCACAGAAAACTCTCTTCTTCTTTTCCTAATCTTCATCCTCCGTCACAAGAAAACTCTTAGAAACTTCTTTTTTCTCTGTATTATCTCTGCACAGTTACACCTCCAACAAAAATCATCATCAGCCCTTCATCATCCTCTCCAATCTTCAACATATCACATCAACAACAAACATAAATTCGTCATCAAATTATCATCAATTCAATTCGCAGTAAACAGAAAACCGAAAGGAAGAAGGTGAAAAGGAAGAACATAAAAGATGAGTTTGGATCGATTATCTTCATCACTATGGTAGGCTCTGAACCCCCTTTTGTTCATTATCCCTCACATCGAGGTTCTTGAAGCGTATAAACTTGGCTTTCGATTTCTTGAAGATTCGGACCTAGGGTTTCAAACTTAGGCTCTTCGATTCAGTCTCGTGGTTCGTTTTTGTGTGAATCAGATGATATATTCGTACTCATTAGATGATTTTAGTTTGGGTTGATGTAAAGGATCTTCGATCGGAAATGGCTTGTGGATGGTGGTGATAGAGGCGACGCCGCCGGAAATCGCACCACTATGTTTGTGTTCGTAATGATAAGGAAGCACAGAGGTAGAATACAGATCCACGGAAGAAATTGGGAAAGAACCAAAATCGAAACCGAGGTATCAACTTCATAGAAGAAGTGGAAGAGATGGAGATGACGGAACGGTCGTAGCACAGGGAAGAAGAGGGTATCCAATTTCGGTTAAAGTACAAAAGGCATATGTAAACCCTAAACATTTCTATAAGTTGTCGTTTTATCCATTATACAATTTTGTTTATTATTCTTCTTTATTCCCATTTAATATAAAAAGGGAAATCTGAATGAGATTGGATAGTGGTGGATTGATTCCCATGGACCAAATCACAAATCCCTTTGTCTAGGCCCGTTGAACATGATTTTTGAAGGCTGAAGAATATGAACAAAAGAGGAGTGTGGATCCACTTTATTGGGCGTTTGTGCCATTATTGTTGTACCAAACGCCTAGTTCCAGATTATACACCCCTCTATGTTTTAGAATTTCAATTGTTTTCTATACTAATTCTACTCTCCATGATTTTTGTTGGTAAACATGCATGAATAAAAAAAATATTGGTGTTTTAGAAAAAATAAAAAACAATTTAATAGAATTTTCTAAGATTTCTTTTTTTATAGAATTTTGATTATAATTTTCTATTATCGATTATGTTTAGAATCTTGACTTACTTTTGCTTGTCGAGATCCGAGTCTTATGCAGGTTTATTGTGCGATATACGGATATGCTCCAGTTACCGATTGTGATTTTAATTTCACATTGATGATGCTTCGACACTTATTTTGAGCATTTGGTGTTTGACTCTTTTCTTTGATCGGCGAAGCTTTTGCGAAGATCTTTTGGTTTCTTTGTTTTGATACGCTTTGCAACATATTGATATTCGTTTGGTATTTTCCCTTGTTTACCTCATTTCAGCATTTATTGTTTTCTAGAAATCATGTGAAGTGGGAAGCAAGAAATAAAGAGTGTGCCCTCGAAGTCGCTGTTTAAAGTCCTGTAGCAGGCATCGCTTTCTATATGCTAATTGTGGTTGTTTAAAATCCTATCTTTGAAGTAGGTATTTCGCACGTATGTTTACATTTGTGCCCGCATTATATTACAGTTGATAAGTCCTCAAAAGGAGGAAAGCAGGGAGGGTCCGTAATCGACCCCTGCATATTATAGTTTGTGTCATCCTTTTCTTACGTCGTATGTCGATGCTTCGTAGTCGTGCAGATCTGGTGTATCAAGTCGGTCATGTGGGGAAGGGTTTTGTGATAAACCCCCCACACTTTGTCAAGAGTTTGCATTGGCTGATGTTGACACTCTGTGATCATTCATATTGTCTTCTGTCACCTACCTCGATCTTTTGTATCTTGGTTAGGTGTTTAGTCGCTTTGGACATCACATTTTGTTTTGCATCATATTCCCTCTTGTTTGTCTCAGGTGATATGCTCCCCACGACTAAAGCATTTCGCTTCTTTTCCTTACCATTTTATGTGTGTGCTCCTTCTAGCTTGCTTGTTTTTATCCTTGTATATGCCATGCTCCCTTAGGATGTGCTTGTTCCTTTCGGATTCAAGTTAGACCTTAGGCTCTGAGCCATGCATGCTAACATTAGGTAGATTTTCCCCTTTTGTTAATCCAAAACTCAGGACCACCATTGTATGCTAACATAGGTGTAGTGCTAGGCTAGTCTCCCTTGGTTGTTTTCTTTTCTTTGCATATTGCATCTTAAAACGAAAACCTTTTTTCCTGGGAAAATCATAAAACATCTCAAATTGTGATCGGTGGATTTAGAACTGACTGTTTAACGCTGGATCGCGAAATGTCGCGGAAGCAAGAGTCGTCACCGTCTTTTATTTTCTCCAATATGGACAGGACAAAAGCACAGCAAAATTCCTTATGAGATAGTTTCTCGGTTCGGGAGGTAGATTTATAGAAAGGGAAGGTGTTAGCACCCTTTCTATCCATGGTTATCCATGGGATCTTAGATACTTGCTCTTATGTTTTCAAAATGTTTGCTTTTCAAGGTGTGAGTGGATTTGAAATAAAAGTTTCATTTGAAAGATTTCTGAATAACTCTTGTATCTGTCCTCAAGAGTGTTTGAAAAATTGTTTTGAAAGCTTTTTTGAAAGTGTCGGTGTGAAAAGATGTTTTGATTTGTTTTTAGAATAGAGCAAGTATCTATGAGTCATCTACCTACCCTAAGGAATTAGGCTGTGTAAATGTCCTTAAGGTAGTGCCATCCCACCATTGAGAGGTAGGTAGCACCACCGTTGGAGGTGTTCGGGTCAATTCGAGTGTAGGGACAATGTGGTCACTGAAGCAACAGTAGGACACCTTAGAAGCTACCCTTATATCCTTGATCCTTTTTTAATCCGAGACAACCGTTTCGAGGCAACTATTCTGAGGCAACTGTTTCGAGGCAACCGTTTCGAGGCAACTGGATCATGGACATAAGGACTTACTAAAACGTCATATACTTGACGACCACGTTTCGAAGACAACAGGTGAGGCGTACCCTAGAAGTGGTGTGTGTATTTGTGTGTTGTTTTCATGTTAATTTTATCTTTGATCATGGCATCGTGAGCTACACTTGTTTTTAATTAACCATACATTCTTTCATGCAATTTAGAATTTAAGAGTGCGGAAGTTTAAATGCGGAAAGATAAAAGCTACGCTATTACAAGGCGCGGGTCTATACATCGCCAAAATACAAAGACCCGTTTGATAAATGATGCGGAAAGTAAATAAATACGGTAAACCTAATTACTATTACATCCAGAAAGTAGTTACATAATATTCAAAAGAAAATGATATGCGAAAAGAATAAATTGGACGTTCGAGGGTTTTGACCCTTTTGAGAAATTAAATTAAATTAAATTAAAGCCTATTTAATTATTTAATTAAATAAAAGAAAATGTTTTTATTTTTTTGGTATTTATGAAATAAAGAAAATTAAAATTAGAAGGAAACCCTAGTTCTAGATTATTTTTAGTTATTAAAGAAAATATCCAAGTTAACCTAATTTACGCTAATTAATTAATTTACATGTTTATTTACAAAAATAAATAGTAATTAACAATAATAATAAATAATGAGAAAAATGATTTAATTAAGAAAAAGATGAAAATGTCAAAAAAATCTAATTCTATGCATTTTTCTTTATTAAAAAAAAGTGTTAAAATTAAAACCTAAATTAACTAAGTTAATTGTTATTGAAATTTATTTACAAAAATATTTTAATGGTGAAATTAATAATAATTAAACATATTTTACAATTTTTGGTTTCTGATTTTTATATTATGAAAATTATTTTTATGTTGAATTAATGAAAACAATTAAAAACAATTAAAAAGAATTATAAATAAAATTGAAAAAATAATGCAAACCAGGGGGGTATCAGGCCCAGAATGGAGGTTAATTGGAAGTAATTCAGGCCCATTAACACCAACTCGTTTGACTTTCCATGCTTGAGTGCGCCTTGGTTGACTGAGGTACACCATGGATTTCCTTCTGAGGCCCTTGGATTAATCATCATGTCCACTTGGCAGGCCTAAGCATGAGCGTGTATGGTGAACCACTGAACCATTGTTGCACGTGAACACGTTAAAACAAAAATTATGCAATATGTGGGGGGACCTGGGAATCGAACCCAGGTCCCAATGCTTGCAGTACACCTCATCCACCAACTGAGCCAGGCAACGCGCTTGTTCATATAATGGAGAATAAATGTTATATAAAAAAAACAATGTTAGTGGTATAAACAAAGAAAAGCGCGCCAGATATTTGAACGCTCCTATCATGCCTGGACACCTCAGCTTCTTCTTCATCTTTTTCCTGCAATTATAAAACAAGTAGCGGGGGTTTTAAACCCCCACTAAGTGGAACAGTGAATAATAGCGAATATGCCTACAGGTTAAATAAATTGAGCACGAGGGTTTCATTGAATCAGGTTTCTTGCAACGAATTCATTCATATTGGTCTTGAGGTCTAATTTTTCCATACAAGGAAAGCCCTATTTTGAAGCTTCTGAAACCCTAGGTTTCATCCATGGTGGATTTCGTTTCAAGCAGCTACAGAACAATTAAACTATGCCAAACGCTTCAGGAAGATGTCAGTAATGCAAATCAATGAATAAAACATATGAATGATGCGTAGAAATTGAAATTCGGTTATGGAATATTTGTGAAGAAATGTGATTCTGTTCTACCGTTTCTTTGATTATGGAAGCTTGTTCTTGATTGCAATCGACTCCTGGAAGGTTCAACAACGTGTTAGAATGCTTTTTATGCTTTGAAACGTGCTCCAACTATGAAATCAGTTTCAAGCTTTTTGTTGAAATTTTGCAATTTGGTTATGGAGCATGAGCAGTTTTTTCGTGTATGCTTGAGTAGGGTTTCACTCAGCCTTTGTATGTGAACGAAATTAGGTTAAGAAACAAGCCCATAAGTCCATGAATTAATGTTTTGAATCTTTGATTTTCATCATATATTTTTCAATCTTTTTTCATTGAAATCTTTGCCAATCATGGATGATTTTCCTTTTTTGGATGTGAAACGACTTGGCCAGCTTGCCCTAGTATGATTTGCTGCACAAAAAGATTTGAAAAAGCATTATTTGATATTTTCTCATAATTAAATCTAATTAAATGAATTAATAAGAATAAAAATTCAATTAATTAATTAAAAATAATAAAATAAATCCCTTTGAGCTCAATGGGTCGTGCATAGGCTTTGGTTAATGATTCAAGGAAGAATTTGAGGCCCATTAGCAATTTTGAAGTGTTTTAGGCAAAGTTGACTTTTGAAAGTTCCCAAAAATTTCTCAACTTCTCCAATGCATATCTTGCTCAATTTTCAAGCTATGAACATGTTCTTGGACATTTTGGAAAGGTCTTGAAGTCCTCTAACCAATGCCTTTGGTCCCATGTCATTTTGATTTACCAATCTCAAGTTATGGTCTTTTACCTAAAGTGCCTTTTTGTTGACTTTTGAAAATGACCTATAATGTTGAAATTGATAACTTTTTGTGAGAACATTTCTTGGATTTGAAGTGTGAAGATGAGTTGTAGGAAATGTCATTCACTTCAAAATGAGCTTTGGATGGGATTTTTCTGATAAACCATGAAGAAGTTATGCCTTGGTCAATTTGCAGTTGACTTTTTCAACTGTCCAAAAATAGAAACTTTTGCATCTTGAGACTTTTTGAGCCATGCTTTT